CACAATCTGTAAACTACAAAGCTTTATATAGCTCTTTATATTAACTTTAGTCATTTTCTATATATTTCCCTTCTCGTGAAACCAAGAATTGATAAAGTATGCATTTAAACTCACACATGCTTAGTTGAACTGGTAAGGGGTTCATCTAACTTACCTAATAGTTTTGTCAGTTGCGTTAAAACTTGTTAGAAGAGCTTGACAACCTTTCCACCCAAAATGGTCCTACAAAACTCGATTTGAATTAGCCGATTACTCGGATATCTGGTAATAGGATTCAGAAAAAGCGCTAGATACTGGATAGCCAAAGGATTATTAAAAAAAAGAAGAAGATGCATTTAAAAAAAATTAACTAATACTTTATTAAAAGTTAATCATTTTGAAATAAAACTTAAACAACCACAATTATTTTGAAAGAAGGAAAATGTGATTTTCAAATTGAGATTTTCAAAGAAATCTCTTGCAATATAATCTTAAAAATTATTTTTAAACTGTAATAAAAACTCATGATAATACACTTTATTAACAAACCACATAATGTATGAGAAAAAAGTATTTACATAATATATGATAATACGCTGTTGGTAAATTAGGAATAATAAAGACCTCGACCACCTTAAACTAAAGTTTTTTAACCATATATGTAAGCAAATCTCATGAAATAAAAAACAAAATGATCAAATGTTTTTATACATTTCAAATATATGTTTTTATACTCATCCATTTCCGACTTAGGATGTATTAAAAAAAATCATGAAGGTCAAAAAGGGAAAAAAATTATAAAGCATGCCCACATTAGACCATTAATGCACGAACGTCTGTGCGCACAAAAATACAAATAACGATCATTGTCACAAGTAATATTTTTAAATATTATATCCACAGACAACTTTGATGACATAATCTCAACGAATAGACAGATTAAAAAATTAGAAAATTTTAAAAAAAATTAATATCAGCTTTAATCTCTTTATTCTACTATCTTCGCTCCTATTTATAAGGTTTCATTTACAGATTATACTCCTCCGGTCCTTAATATAAAATCCATTTAACTAATTTGATTAGATTAAGGAAGTTAGGTAAGTTAATTAATTATAAAAAAAGTGACACATTTTTCCTAAAACCCTATAATCATCTTTGTTAATACCTCATCTCCCTCTTCTACTTAATTATAATTGAGAGAATATATATATAGGGGTAATTTAGAGAAAACTGATAAATATGAGAAATGGGTCTTATATTTAGGACCAAAACTAACTCAAGAATTGGGTCCTATATTAAGGACCAGATGAGTAAATAAAATCTTATAATTAAGACCGAAAATAGTAGTTTCGGTAATCAACAACTTTAGTCCTACATATATTGTTTTAGAAACTAAGGGCTTGTTTGGATCAACCTTACAAAAGTGTTTATAAATACTTCTACGTAAATTGAGACAAAACTTCTCTCACATACTTACCTCGTATTTTATAAATCACGTTTGAAAATCTGCTTGTAAGCTACTCCTTCGGTCTTTAATATAGGATTTAATTGTTGAGTTGGTTTTGGTCCTAAATATAAGACCCATTTCTCATATTTATCATTTTTCTCTAAATTACCCTTATGGATATTCTATCAAATTGAAAACAGTGTTCCATTGACTATTGATTATTTTACCCCAAAAAAACACTGTTCCAGTGACCAAAATTTTTCAGACAGAATAAAATAAAGTCAAATAATTTTACAAATCAAAATCACTGATTTTAAATTTTAGTGGTCAAAATTAAAATGAAATCGAAAGATTTGATGGAAGAAAACTAGGCAAGTGCAATCCCACGTGTCGCACTACAAATCAGTGACTGAATTTCTCAATTATATAATATAATTGCGAATTGTGTGGGGTGGGTTGTTGTCATCACTCCTATAATGCATATAAATGTCAAGGATTAAAAAAAATAAAATGATAAAAATCAAGGTCAGCTCTATTCATGAATACATAAAATAAAATTCATAATAAAATTAATTATTCATAAATCATAAAATAATGAATTTTTCTAAATTTTATATACCAGAAAAAAGGTATATCTAATGTTTTGTATAATTTTTTTGATGAAATAATTTAATAAGACAAAATCATATGATAGATTATTTTTCTTCATGTTTAATGTCCGAGGAAGAAATTTTTATCTCACTGGAGTGTATCAGAAAATTTTTAATATCAATGTCAAAAAAGGGCTAATGAAATGAATAATAAATCATTTCTGTATCCTCATTATAATAATAAAAGAATGATTCCACAACCCAAAAAAATTGGTCCAGTTGATAAGGAGTCAGTTCATAACCCATAAGATTGTGAGTTCAATCCCGCTCTGATATGAGGATCTTGTTGGTGGGCGATTTATAAGTACCTATGTAAGTATTTTTTGTGCCTAGAAGCATGTCCTGGCCATGGTAAGCTCCCATAACGTATCGCATCTAGACTTTTTTCACCAAAAAAAAGAAGAAGAATGACTTCACACGATAAGAATACAAAACAAGATAAAAAACAAGAAACTTAACACTCATTCTTATTTTATTGAAGATATGTTGAGGGTTATAACTTATAAACTCAACTTTAATTTTAAGAATTAAATCAAAATATTTTAAAATTCATAACATTAAATATAAATATTATTCTAACAGGTAATAATTAAATATAAGATTTCTTTTTTCTTAGTCCACTATTTTAGATTTCACGAAATTACATGTCATGTGATGGAAAAGGAATCATTTTCCTCATGTCAACCAAACTGGACCCGGAGTAATTAATCAAAATTGACATTTTTCGGAAACCTGCCTTCAACATGCCCCTTTGATCTCGCTTCATTTCCATTTTCCAACATTCATCTTCATCTTTGGCCAAAAAAAAAAATCATTTTCATCATTCCATAATTATAAATATTCTTGGATAGCTTTAGTATAGCCAAGACACAAATGAACCGAGCCAAAATCCGAGGCATTAATGAGGGTCACAACCGAATGGGGAGGTATGGATGGGTGACTATAAATGTTGATGGAGCCTGCTCATATAAGGATGACAAGGCGAGTTGTAGGGGTGTTATACATTAGAGACCATAGATAAAATTTAATTGAAGTTTTCGTTCTTAATATATAAGATGTACTATTGCAGAAAATATCTTTTATGGTGGTTAATTAAAGGACATTTATCGGTGGAATTTTGGGTGTGTTTTATTAGGGCCTATTTAGAATAACGGTGAAAATCTCTTATAAGTACGTTTTACGTAAGTAGAAATAAAATTCCTCTCACATATTTACTTCATATTCCATAAATTACGGTTGAAAGCCTACTTATAAGCTGTTCCAAACATAGTCTTAGTCTTAAGAGAGTGGTGAGAATCATAAGTTTGCTTGAGAAATGATTCTTTAGATGCAATTAAGCTTATCAAGGATGGTAATAATAATCTTCATGACAATTGGAATTTAATTCCAGAAAGCCATGGCATGCTTAAATGAGATTGGGGTTGATCTTTAGCATATCGGACAAGAGAAAAACTCTGAAGCTAATATGTCAGTCAAGTGTGTTTCAGTGATATTTCTTGGATTTTACTTGGTTCTTTTAGATGATCTTTGTTTTTTTCCCGTTGTAATGTAGAGTAGTTGTTTATTGCTTTCTTCTGTCATCAACAAATTTGATCTATCACGATGTGTTTAGAAGAAAAGAAAATTAGGGAAGAAAAAATAGAGGGGAAAATTGAAGGAAAAATGGACCAGCCATACATGTCCTCCAATTATATCTTCCAAATAATGTGGCAAACCAGGAGCATCTAAGAATTTCTCTAGAAGGAAGAGGAAATAAATCAAATTTTTAGTGGGTATACTACACATTAGATGCTGCTATGTAGGATTTTTCGGTCAACCTTAAGCTGAGTCAGCAAGGTAACAGTCAAACTTAACTTTTCTGTTAGCTCGGGATATAGATGCACTGTTTTAATTAGTTTGAGATACTGGATGTACCGAAAATTACTTTAGGACACTGGACGCACCCGAAAAAATAATTCAGGGTGTTGGATACACCTTAACCCTTTAATCTATATGCTTTAATTCAATAGAACTTACTTTCTATAATTTCTCATCCAAAGCAACTCAATTCTTATATAGTTTTTTACTCTGTTGAGCGGCTATAATTCTTGAACTCAAGAAAATATAAGGTTTAATTTACATGATCAGCCTTTGGGACCACATTGATGATTCTGAGAAAATTTAGGAACTAAAGCTTATACTACCTCCGATTCTTAATATAAGATCTTGTTTGATTTTTATTTTGATCTTAAATATAAAACCTCAATCCACTTTGTCTCTCATATTTATACATTTTTTTTAAAGTAGCCCTTCTAACAATGATAGTTCTAGTCAATATACTTGATTAGTAAGAATATTTTAGGAAAGACAACACCTATTTAGGATAAATAACTAACTCAATTTACTTCCTTAATCTCTTCAAATTAGTCAATTGACTCTTATAATTAGGATCGAAGGTAGTATGATCCTAATAAAAAAAAACTTAAAATTAAAAGTATACAAATAAAATAAAATAAAATAAAATAAAGTCAAGTCTGGACGGTTGAGATATGATACCATGACAAGCCTAAAAGATGACTCAGGAACTAATAGTTTTTCTTCTTTGGCCAAAAAAAAAAACAGGTTTTTCTCTGAGGATGACGTGTCGGTGGAACGTTCTGTGCGCCACTCAACGGGAAAAAATAGTTACCTTTTTCCTACGTGGAGTTCCCGTATCACATTTCTCTTTCTCAAGTCACTCTCATTCACTGACGTACGAAAAAGGGATACTCGCTTCCCCAGCTCGTTATTAGTACTGAAATTACCAAAATAGCCTTATCACATTTCCATCCGCCTTGCGCGTGGCTACCACGCCATGTCGGCGCGTCTTCTTTTCAGGTTAGCTGGCAAGAATTAGGTCTATAAATTCCGAAAAGCTGCGAAGAACTCATAGCGCTGATAAAAAAAATCATCTCCACTTTTCCACCATTTATCATCTTCTCTCTCTACGAGCGACCAAATTTCTCAAATTCTTTATTCGTTTTCTCGAAGCTTCATCGAGATCGCGAGGCCACAGGCCTCCACCGACACCCAAATCGCAATTTCCCGCCGATTGTTGCTCGGAAATTTCGCCGATTGAGGCATCAGATTCTGTAATCCGATCGATTACAGGGCTGAAGTGGTTGAATTTGGAAATTTAGTCGCATGAACTGGTTCGGGAAGCTGGGTTTATTCTCGAATTTGAATTCTGATCACTTCATTACTTGTTTGTTAATTTTCATCCTCCATTTTTCACCTCAATTCCGTTCTTCTCTGTTTCAATTTGAGAAGAACCCTCTGGAGTGGTCATTAATTAATATTAATAGTAATCGCAATCCTAGTAGTGGAATATCTACACAATATGGAGTCTCGAAAGAGTAATCCCCAGATACGCAGAGGTTTGTTTTTTATCTTAGTTTTTAATTTTTTAATTCAAAGTCCCTTCAAGTATTTTGTTCGTTGCATTTGACTTAATTTCATTTCAGCTAGCATTTGATATGTATTTTAACAGTATCGCTTTGGTGATCGAAATGGACAGATTATAAAGGCTTTAGTCTAACTCACAAACAGTGTGAGCACGTGCATGTGTCAATTAGTTTTTCTTAATTTTGTTATGTGTTACTGATAGAGTTGTGGATTTTAAGAATCGAGTTGAAAAAGAGTGATCTTCTTATTGTACACTTTATATTAACCATGGAATACCTCGCAAATTCGAGATTGAAATTAAAATTATAGTTGATCTAGTCATATGGGAAGACTCTTTTTGGTTTGGTTTTTGTCCTTTTCTTATTTGATTTCAGTTCGTATATATGGCAGTGGTATGTGATATATTTTAACAAAATTGCTTTGGTGATCAGAGCGGAAAAGTTATAAAAGGCTTCAATCAACTCACAACTGTGCGAGCACGTGCACGGCCGCTTAATTTTTTCTTCCTTTCGTTTTGAGTTGTTGATGAAATCGTGGATTTTAAGAATCGAGTTGCAAAAAAGTGATCTTACGTGAGCTTTATCAAAGAAATTATATGGAGACATAATATATTTACCATTGAATACCCCGCAAAACTGGTGTTGAAACAAGAATTAAAGTTGATGTTGTTACATGGGCGGACTGTTTTTGGTTTGTTTGTATCTTATTCATATTTGAATGTCTACGGTACTATGCCAGCCTGTGGTTGCGCGTTGATCACTTCGTTATTTGTATTCAGCTTAAAGCACTTCATATTAATTAGGAATTACCTCCTTACAAAGTTCCTCTCCCCAAGTAATAATGTTCGGAGAGTCGTCTTTTTTGATATTGTGGAAACAAAATGTTCTAATTTGAGCTGTGTCTTCTGATGCTAACTCATATCTCACTCTCACTGTCACTCTCACTCATATCTTCTCTTCACTCCTGCAGCTCTTTGCTATGCAAACGTTAACGGGCAGCAGGAGAGGTCACCATCTGTTATTGTCATTGGCGGTGGTATGGCTGGAGTTGCTGCTGCTCGGGCACTTCATGATGCCTCATTTCAGGTATCTAAGCAAATGTGGTGAAATTTCTGTCATCCACCCTGCATCTTTGCAGCTTAGTTGACTTGTACACATTAAAGGAATGAGTCTGACTTGCGACTAATTTACATGCCTTTAGGTCTCTGCATATTAGATTAGCTTCATAAGTTTTATTATAAATTACACGTATAGAATTATTTGATACAGTAAGTTATCATAATCTTTGAAGGTTTGACGCAATATGCAATCTGTTTTGCAAAACGGCTATTATTTTATGTTTCTGCTGAAGTTTCATTGTCAGCTGTTTTGTTGGTAAGACTGATCATGTAGAAGCCTGGCTGGGTACAGGCAATGGTATTGCGTGATATGGTTATCCTCCTTGCATGCCCTGAACGAGCAACTATAGTGAACTTACTAAGTTGGGACTGGTTTTGTATTCTAGTCAAATTAAACCGAATTCATTGAGCATTTTGTATTTAATGAAGGGGGCAGCTTACCCTCATTGTTTTGATCTTCATCTTCATCTTCCTTTCTCCCAATTTTTTTGAAAGGAAATTGACATGAATACGAGGACGTTTTTTTGCTTCAACAATGCAAATTATGGGGTGAAAACAATTTTCTACAATTAAGTTAAGAAGGAGAACACTGGATTACTTTCTTTCTATAAGATTTCACATTTGAGACTTACACATTTTCAGTAGTAGTTTATTGATCTTTGCAAGTTTCAACCCAGTTTTCTAGCACAAAGAGATGTTTAGATTTATGACTCTTTGCCAATATCTATATGGTTAAGTAGTGCATTTTTTTTTTTTTTAATCAGGTTGTTCTCTTGGAGTCACGGGAAAGATTGGGAGGCCGAATTCACACTAATTACTCATTTGGCTTTCCTGTTGACCTGGGCGCATCATGGTATGCCTTATTTATTGTATTTTTTATGGCCCTAATCTGTTTATGGTCTTGACAAGATAAACAAATCTTTTCTTACCTTGAAATGGCAAATTATTATTGATGGTTCAGGTTGCACGGAGTGTGCCAAGAGAATCCACTGGCTCCAGTGATTGGGAGGCTGGGACTTCCTTTGTATCGAACTAGTGGGGATAACTCTGTCCTATATGACCATGATTTGGAAAGGTAAACAATTGGTTTCTCTCTGTCTAGCTGTCACATAAGTCTGCTAGTTACATGGTTGATGAGCTATTCAATGTTCTTTCATGACCGTATTTTGTTTTGTTTTGATTTCTGCACCATCCATGCGTTAAAAAATATTGCTTACAAGTTCTTCTTGATGAATATTCATCAACTTGGGTTTTGCAGCTACGCTCTCTTTGATATGGATGGAAATCAAGTTCCCCAAGAATTAGTCAAACAAGTTGGTGAAGCATTTGAGACCATTTTGCAGGAGGTTAGCCATCATTTTAATTTATAATGGGTTGGTTTATATGATTAATTGCTGGGGCTATTATGAGCACTCTATCTAATGATTCTTCCTCACATCATGCAGACAGATAATGTAAGGAAGGAATTCAGTGCAGATATGTCTGTGCTCCGTGCTCTTTCAACTGTTTTTGAAAGAAAGCCTGAATTAAGGTTGTTACTGGAATGGATCTTTTTCTCCTTCTTGGTCTTTATTTTATTTATTTATTTATTTATTTATTTAATTTTTTTTAAATTGATGGTAAAGTAGTGGGGATGCTAACATCAATCTTGAGTGTAGGTTGGAGGGGCTTGCCCACAAGGTACTTCAGTGGTATTTATGCAGAATGGAGGGTTGGTTTGCTGCAGATGCTGATACCATATCATTGAAATGTTGGGATGAGGTAATTGAAAGAAAATAAGGATGGTTGGATTTTTTTCTAAAGCTTGACTATCGCCGCCTTTTTCTAAAATGAAAAAAGAGGAGATTACTTCACTATGTAATTGATTGATGGCAGGCAGATGATAAAAGAATCTGCACCAATTGGGTTTCTTTTGAACTCGTGTAGACTCTTTTGGGTTGGCTTTAAATTCATTGAAACATAAGCTTTGTTTTGTTGGATTGAAAATGAGCAGGGAAATGATGATACATTTAATTGTGTCTTTTACATTTTTATGTATCTCCTTCACATTTTCACTCCATTCAAGTATAGCCTTAAAAGTGTCAATCGATCATTCACTTGTATCCTGCTAAAATAAGGCTGAAACAGAGAGGTCTGGGTTTAAAACATACTATCTGTAGTTTTGAATGATATTTAGGCTAAAAAGGTTTGTAATTGCGTGGGTGCAGTGGCAGTGGACAGCTGCACACCTAGCAGCTGCATTTTACTATGAGTTCTCACGCACCTTCATATGGTACTTTCCATCTCCTGGTCATCTTGGTAATCACTCTGTATTATATCAGAGCTTGGTAAACCCATAACTAATGAAAGAGTGGAACTTAATGTGTGGCTAGGAAATCAACTCTGCTGAGTCTTGGATTCTGGAATGTCTCACAACGAAAATTTGTTGGTTTAGAAAACAGGACTAAGTACAAGCAGAAAATTAAAGGGTTGAATTTTTATGTTTACCTCGAGTTCTTATTTTTTTAACTTTGAATTTGCTTCTTACTTCTACCTTTTTTTCCTCTGTATTTTACACACTGAATGATCTATTCTCTTTGGTGTTACATACAGGTAGCTCCTGTAATGAAAGAAAAAAATTGTAGAGTCGTCTCATAGCCAGGTGCATGAGTCTTCAACATGCATCCTTTCTATGACCGATAGATTATGTAAATTTTCCATAGTCATCATATAGGATTAAGTATCACAATGACATGCAGAGAGATTAGTTTTGAGGATGCCAAATGACTTTGGTGCTACAATTCTTGTGGGAATAAATAAAAAAGTTTATTTTGGGCGAATTGCTCATCATGTAGAGCAAAACGAATGCCAACATGATGATGATGAGTATCTGTTCCTTAACATTTGCAACAAAAGCCACTGGTATGCCAACAGTCGTTACATATAGTCCTCAGTCTCTTTAGCATAGTTGGTGATACATATTCCTGTATTTTTGGCTCCCCCTTTTTCGAGGGGTGTGGGGAGGGGGCAGGGAATGAGATGTGGGGATTTTATTTCACCTGCTAGTAAAGCAGTTAACACTAGTGTTTGAGATGAAAAGAGATAACACTTGGTTGAAGTTCTATGAGGGTTTGTTATCAGGTTTTCCAATGAAAATGCAGCATGTTATTGATCCTTTGGAAGAAATTTCTCCACGTCATAATTACATTAACCTGATAACCAACACTTGAGAATTTCGTCTAAGTTTCATGATGGAAAAACCAAGTCCTGCCATGTATATGTTTAAATTGTCATAGTAGACTGGGAATGACTTCATATAGTGGCCATACTAGCGCAGCTGCTAGAAACCTGTGAATTTATTTTCATTTCTGTCCTTTTCTATTTTTTTAAAATTATTTCTTATACATCTCTTAACATGCACTTGCAGGAAGTTCTGCTCCCTGGTGGCCATGGTCTCATGGTTAGGGGCTATCTGCCTGTTATACATACCCTCGCCAAGGGTCTTGACATTCGCTTGGGACACAGGTACAGAGATGGTTTGAACTTACTTTTACTTGGATCTGTATGTCCTGTTATGCATCTTAACTATATCAGCCGGCATTGATAATACATCTCTTCAGGGTCACAAAAATAACAAGGCGATACAACGGAGTAAAGGTGACAGTGGAAAATGGGGAAACATTTGCTGCAGATGCTGCTGTTATTACTGTTCCTCTTGGGGTGCTCAAATCAAAGAGAATCAAGTTTGAGCCCAAGCTCCCTGACTGGAAAGAAGCTGCCATTGCTGATCTAGGGGTGGGGATTGAAAATAAAATAATCTTGCACTTTGAAAATGTTTTCTGGCCGAACGTGGAGTTCTTGGGAGTAGTTGCAGAGACATCTTATGGATGCAGCTACTTCCTTAATCTCCACAAGGCGGCAGGTCATCCTGTCCTTGTTTACATGCCTGCTGGGCAGCTAGCAAGAGACATTGAGAAGATGTCTGATGAAGCAGCTGCAAACTTTGCCTTCACGCAACTCCAGAGGATCCTTCCAGAAGCATCTTCACCGGTAAATATTCATGTTTTATTTATTTTTTACAAGAAGCAAGAGTCTCTATTCCTATTACTTGGTTTAGGCTAGCTTTGGGAATCCTGATGCTTTTTGGCCTTAGAGAGAGAGAGAGAGAACAATACTGGCGCAGCTTTCTTCTTTTGTTTCATCATATGGTCTACTTATCCTGTCATATGGATTGCTCAAATGTTGCAGATTCAGTATCTTGTGTCTCGGTGGGGCACAGACATTGACTCACTAGGGTCTTATAGCTATGATGTGGTTGGAAAACCCCATGAACTGTATGAGAGGTTAAGAGTCCCGGTAGACAACTTATTCTTCGCTGGGGAAGCCACTAGCTTTAGCTACCCTGGGTCTGTGCACGGCGCATATTCTACTGGAATGATGGCTGCTGAAGACTGCAGGATGCGGGTTCTGGAACGTTATGGGGAGCTAGATTTGTTCCAGCCGGTGATGGGCGAAGAGTCATCGATGTCCATCCCACTTCTGATCTCTCGTATGTAAACTTGGGGTTACGCCTTGAGTGGATAATTTTATGCACACAAACAAATCCTACATCAGAAGTTGGCGAACACTCCAGTTCTGTTGTGATTACCCTGATTTTGAGAGGGGGAAAAACGTGTCTGTTGGTGTTCCTTGTTCCGTGGTATTGTGCGGTCCGTTTGTGAGTCTTAATAGCTGTGACCTGGTAAAATATTGTATATGGATGGATCCGCCAGGTCTTGGGATTCCTGGAATACGGGTTATGGCTCATGGAAAACTCAGAAATGCATCTTTTGTTTCATGATGTAGCTGTGTTTCTGACATTTTAGAACATATAAACTGTTATTTATAAATGAGGTTTTCGTCCTAGTACCGGTACTGAGATATTTGATGTTACCGCCTAAAAGTATCTGTGCTATAGTTTCGGTCATAGTGGTGAGTATGAAAATACTGAATATTACTACCTTCAGTTTTAATTATAAGGGCTAGTTAGTTGATTAATTTGAAGAGATTAAGAAAAAAAATTAAGTTAATTATTTGTAATAAATGTATTATCTTTCTTAAAATATCTTTGTTAATCAAGTACTCCTCCGATCTTAAATGTAAGACCCTTATACCAGTGTGGTATAAGGGTCTTAGGATCGGAGGAGAATATTGGTTAGAGTTACTATTGTTAAAAGAACTATCTTGAAGGAAAAAAAAAGTATAAATATGAGAGACAGTGAATTGGGGTTTTATATTTAGAATCAAAATAAAAATCAAACAATGTCTTATATTAAGAATCGGAAGTGGTATTTTTTCACTAAGTAAGGTTGAGGGGGAAGAGATCTAATTTTCTACAAGAATGAGATGATGAAAATTATTCATGCTTTTTTTTTTGTCAGGAAAATTATTCATGTTTAAAAGAGTTATTTTTCATCGAGTCTGATGATCTCTTTTTTATTTTATTCTAATTATAGAGATTTCAAGAAAAATTTAATGTTTCGTTTTCATTCTTTTGATTATGAACGGTTGAGTAATTCAGTTTCATAGATTAAATGTTAGTTTGAAATGGTTTATAAATAACTTTTCAATCGTGATTAATAAAATACGAGGTAAATATGTTAGAAGGATTTTGTCTTAGGTTACGTGAAATGTGCTTATAAATAATTTTAATTGTGATCCCAAATAGAACTTAAGTTATTGCTGTTTAACATAAATACTCATTAACCTGTTCTACAAAAGCAACTAAAATTATTATTATTTTTTTAAATTCACAGTGCGTTGAATATATTTGAATTAAACACAGCTATAAGATAAGGTGGGGAAAGAAAGAAAAAAGCTTTGAATTCTCTTTTGCCCTCCTTGGTAGAACTACAAGACCAAAAATCTATGTTGCCTTCTTAGAATTATCAGTCTAGTTCTTAATATGAGTCACTTGTAATACATTTTTACATATAAAAAAATATACTAAATTGTCAAATTTTTTCAATTTTACTGAATAATTTTTTCCCCCTCTGTATTTACAAATCATTTTCATATCTTTCCCTTCTTTCTATCATTCCAATAAAATTTAAATAAGAGTAAAATTGAAAAGATAAGCATTAAATATATTAAAAATGACTTATATTTATGATCAAAACTTCTCCCTTCAAATAACTTACATTTAGGACTAGAGTGATAACATTCTGCATCCCATCCTCAAAGCATTGCTTTAGCTATGTTTGAAAAACTTGCATAACTTTGACAATGTTGCCTCCTTCAAACAAGGAACTGAAAATAAGTGTGGACCCGCTACTCACTAATTGAATGGCATAATACTACTTTCGGTCCTTAATACAAGACTTTGTTTGACTTTTATCTTGATCCTAAATATAAGATTCCAATCTACTTTATTTCTCATATTTATACTTTTTTTTAAAGTAGTCCTTCTAATAATAATAGTTTCAGCCAATATACTTGATTAGTAAGAATATTGTAGGAAAGATAGTACCTATTTATTACAAATAACTTTACTTATTTTCTTAATCTCATCAAATTAGTCAATTAACTCTTATAATTAGGACTGGAGGTGATAATGATAATCACAATAGAGCCAAATAGTGCACATTAGCTTCGTAAGCCTCTTCACCTAATGCTTCATTGAAGCGAATACGCTATAAATGAGGAAAATGACGACGACTGAATAGCTTAGGGTGCTGAAAAGGAAAGAATTACTAATAATTGAATATTGGCTAAGTATTACTCCCTCCGTTCCTTATTATAAAAGACATTTGATACTTATAGTATGTTCCTAAATATAAGAGACACTTAAAAGTTGTCTCTATTTTTTTGTGTTAATTTCCTATTTTACCCATATTTATTGTCTCCAACTAACACTCTCTCTCCTTTCCACTTCTCTTTCTTTTAAGAATTTACTATTGTTCTCTCTCATGCTCTCTCTCCTTATTAATGAGGGTTTTTGGAAAAAAAAATTATACTTTTTACATATTAATTGTTCTTAAACTAATTTTAACTGTTTTTTTGATCAACGTAATTCGGTTATTCGTCTCTTATAATAAGGAACGGAGGGAGGAGTATTTTTTAACTGTTTAATAGCCACCTTTCAGATATGTGCCCTCCAAGACAATTAGCTCAAACTAACCTTTCATATGGCCCTCTAACTATTTGGTCACACCTAACCACTCACAACTGCTCTCTCCCTCTACATTAATCATTGCTTAAGATTTGGTTAATTATGCATT